CCCTGCCTTACCTCTTGCTTTCCAGTACCACCCAACCTTCTCCAGGACCTCAGCTTTCCTGACCTGCGTGCCAGAGGCTGGGCAGCAGAGCAGGTTGCTGCTTCTGTGGGCTCTCCTGGCTTTTCCTCTCGCATCTGTAGCAGTCCTATTACCTGCAGATATGCTCTTGCTGGTGGGATGCCTCCCTCAAAACATGGAGTTTGTCCTGTTTAGGATTGGAGATGAAATATGTGGTTAGCTGGTGTAAAAAAGCAGTGCCCATTTGCTGTGTCAAATTGTAAGTGCTTTGAGGGCAGGGCCCATCTTTTATGTATGTATGTGTGGGTGTGTATTTTCATACAATTCCTAACATGTGAGACATGAGTCTGTATCTGTAACGTGCAAAGCTACAGCGCTAGCTCAGAAAAATGTTTTCCAGATCCTCCGAGGTAGATAGCAGTTCTGATTTGAATATGAGGGCTTTTCAGAGAGAAAACTTTGGGCCTGTGGCAAAGTATGTTACAGCAGTGGTAAGTTAACTGTAGAAGCATGGCTCTATGTTCAGAATCCTTTTGGGATGGGTTCCTTGACCAGTTTAGGGAGAAGAAGCTATGTTGCACCCTTCATTGATTGATGATCATCTTTCATGCTCAATTTAGGATAATTATATTACTGCCTGTGCTAGAAATAATTTGGATTAGAAAACAGAGCTTACTCTTTGTGTGTGCTGCAGCATCTGTATACAGAAGAAAATCTGAACTCAGCAGCATTTCAGTTTGGTTTAAGCATGATGCTAGAGACAGAAAGTATTTTTAAGCCTTTGCAAGCACATTTTGGGACTGCATTAAGATAGAGGGTTATGTCAGTGAAATTTTTAGTTTCTGTTCCTATAGTCCACTATTAATTTACTAAGTTTTGCACTAAATTTCTGTACTGCTTTTGAGATATAACAGACTGTTCTACAGTGCATAGTATTGTGTGGTTTTACAGTTCCAATTATGTTCTCTAGGTTTTGAAAATCCTAGGAACTTCACAGGATTGCGTGCAGTTTTGGGGAATGTCATTTGTGGGGCCAGCCATTTCCTTCTAGCTCAGATATTGAAAGGATTTGGACTCATAATTCTCATTAGATTAAATGAAGTTAGGTAATTTTGGAGACCTAAATTCTTTCTGAGTGTATCTGATAAACATGAGATGTGGTAAAGAGGTGGGAGTATTGGGGTGGGATTGTGTGAATGGCAACATGTTGTGGTATGGATAAGTAGGATGTGGAACACAAGTACTAGCTCATTTTTGCTGCTCTGCTTTGGTCAGATCCAATACAGCTGTCTTCCAGGTGCACAGGCACTTCCTAGTGATGTGAAATTTTGATTATTTAGTTGGGTTAAGTATGGTCTTGTGGAGTAAACATCCTCCTATACCATTTCTTTTGATGTACTTTTCTGTTCATGGAATGGGGTGCAAATGTTACCAAAGAGAGCTGAAAGGATGGATCGTATACACTACTTTCTAGTTCCAGTAGACCTACTAGCTGCAGGCTGTGAACATGACACTGCAATGTCAGTGCTCCATGTATGAATAATAGCTGCAGTTTTTAGAGACCAAATTGAAAGACTTTCTCTTGCCCTACACCCTTTCATAACCAAAACATATAATTTTCTCATGGTTTGCAATAACAGCCGTTGCAGCTAGGCTAATGGATGAGTTTTCCAGACCTACTGCATACTGCGGAAGAGACTTTCCCGCTGTTGAGCTTGCCAAATGGGCCTGCCAGTGACTTGTAATAGAGTCATTAGGTCTCAGCCTCCACCTGAGAGCTGAATTGCAAGGACCACTTGTGTTTTTACTACAGTGACTCAAGTTATTTTGGATATGCGTGAGAGCTGAACAGCTGCATGTCACCCTCTTCCTTCAGGGCCACAGGCCTGATTTGAAATTTGTTGGACACTCAGCATTTAAAGCATTGCCTACTGTCTTGAAGTTAGGGTTTTCTCCGTTTGTATCTGATCTGCTTATGGAGCAAGCAGGTTAAGAATTTCAGCTTCTTCTGAAAACTGAAATGTTCATGTTAAAGCTTAGGACTGGCTCAAAGTGGACTGAACAGACACGTGCTGAGTTAGACTGCAAGCGAACTGTAGAGTCTCTGTCTTTGAAAGCCTTTAGTAACAGATGTAGCAATAAAGAATGACGCAGATGTTGCTGGATCCACCAAGATGGCCTCTTGAGGATTTTTTCCATGTGATTTTCTTTATATCTACCTGGTGCATTACGTTTTTTTTTTTTTTTAACACAATTCTTTAATCACCTGTATTTCCTTGAGACTTAAGACCTGGTTCCAGCATCAATTTGGAGAATATCCTTATACTCTATCATCATGGTTCTGGCATGTCTGAACTGACCAGCCCTGGGCATCTGGCTGTCATGAGGATGCTTAGTCACAGGAGAAGGTTTGACAGTGCTCCTTTCCGAAAGCTATAAAAACAGTGGAAGTGGTACCATGAAACTTCTCCTGGGGATGAGAAATAGAAATATCCCCTTTTGCTTGCTGAGTTAAACAGAGATTAGGGTTTTATTAGGTAGAAACATGAATGACAAAGTTGTTTCCTGTACACAGCCTTGAAGTCTCTGATGAAGTAAAATGACACGAAATTTGCAGATGCTAAAAATAGTGGTAATATCAGTTTGATGTTGCATTTTGTCATCCTCCTATAATACAGTAAAATTGCCTGTAATTCACATTGTAAAATCGACATGCAGAGTTCTTTGAAGACAGGATCTTCATTGTGTGTCTGCAGTGGCCAGAGTAACAAACCAACCCACTACATTGCTATGGCAGGCCATACAAATAAATAAATAAGGATGAATAGGACCATCTCCTTGGGGGCTATCAATCCATCTTGGTTAGAATTTGAGCTCTTCAGCACAGGAAATCTTTGTGCTTTGTACAGTCTTAAATTTGCCCCTGGTGCTTAAGATAGTAATAGATTATGTTAATTTGTACATTACATTATGTAAAATGTGAATTTAATCCAGAGATTTAACACTGAAGTCCTTGCTGACAGTGACATTATTACAGGTTTATAGAATTTACTTGCGGCTCTGTTTTCAGCCTAGCATTTTAACTGAGCTCTTACAGCCTGTCAGAGGTGATTGCTGTAGTGTGAAAGTGCTTTGGAAAATATGTATGAACTGTGGTTTACTTATTATCATTGTATGCATATTTCATCTGTTACTACTAAATGGGTCATTGCAGCAGTGTCACCAGCTGGGTAGCTTCACTGTTTCTTTCCTCCTGTTTCCTGAATGCTATCAATTTTGTGTCTTTCCCCTATTCCCCACTTGTTTGATTTTCTGACCCTCTGTAGCTCTGCAGGCTACAAGCAGAAAAAAATATTTCTTCAAAATGAAAAACAAAACCCATCCTGAGGGAGCTAAAATAGTGTCTGCCCATCTGTTATAAGGTTAGAAATATCACTACCTTGAACTATGGCTCCATTTGCAGCATTGTTTATATTTTACTTGAAGGGGATATTCCTACACCAGGATGCAATAGGAACGTCATTTTTCCTCTAGCATGAGCAGATGTCCTATCTGCAATACTAGCAATAACAATGTTGCTTCCTGTTGTTGCTGTTAACAGGCTTGAGCTGAAAGCAAAGGACGCACAGCCAGTGCCATCAGCATCAATGCTGCCTGCGCACCTTTTTTGCACTCCTTAACAGTTGATGTCTTAGCTAGTGGGCAGGATACTGCCCTAGAGCACAGATTTATTTCCTTGCTGCTTGACGCAGGAGAGGAATGCTTCTGAAACCTCTGCTGTTCTTCTCTGCCTTGACCTTTGCTTTCTCAAGATCGTTTATACTAAACCCGTTTACAAGTTGTATGTTACATACTGAAGGAAAAGGCGCCTGAAGTGAATATGACACATATTTAAGTGTAAATGTCCCTACTCTTAGTCTCCAGGGCACAGCGCTGTGTAAACCTTCAAACAGCAATTAGTGCATTCTTTTTCTTTTTTTCTTTTTTACAGGAGGTCACTATCAAATCTCATGACACATTTCTATCACTAACCTGGCAGGCTGCCATTCAGACCACAGGAAGTCCAGGAGTAAAGAGTATACACTTAGAGCCTTATTCCATCTTCATTATTTCAGACACCAGCAGAATTCTTTAAAGTCTCTGGAGACTCAATGTGAATGGAAAGTATTTTGCCTGAATAGTACCCCTTATAGAGACATTGTCACTGAATCACAAATTTAGATGAGTGTTGTGGCTAGTGGTTTAATCTATACTACATGCCAGTTTTTTGGGGTTTTTTTCACACAAACACAGGCAGTGCTAATCAGTTCTAATGGCCTACCGGGGTTGTCTGGCAGTGAGAGACTTCTTGATTTTGAAAGCAGGACACTGGAGGGGAAAAAAAAAATACTTCCTCCTATTCCAGAGTTTATCTGAGAACGTATTCACATTGACAGTGAGGGAAATAATGTATATTAATGACTTTCAATGGGAAATACAACCTTACTAAAGTAGGTAAGGATTCTGTGCATGAAAAATGTGCAAAAAAAAAAAAGACTGTACATTGGAAGTAAAGGAGCAGAGACAAAGCTGTGCTTTGTGCATAAAAATTAACAGGAATTGAAAATCATACTTTGGAAGTCAGTGTCCGTAGCTGTTGGTTAGATGATAATGTGGAACCTTAAGTTCTTTTCCTATATATTTTTCTGTGCTGCAGCATGTGAATGCATTGTTGCACTTCAAATGGTTGCTAGTCTTGTCTGTCACTGCCATATAGGGACTTAAAGAGATGGTGCCTTTTCCTCTCTTTCACATTTGAATCATTGCCAGTTCAATGGCTGCTGCTGTCACTTGTGTTTTCGTGGAACTATAACAGTTGTGAAAATATTTTATTGTTATTTTATTGAGCTGTACATAGCTGTGTTTCTGTATTAATGTTTTTTCAGTCTTTCAGGACGTTCTGGTCATTTTTATGTATTCATACAATGTCATCCTTATTTCAGGTTATTGAAGGAAAGCTGGCTCCTTTCTTGGGGAAGGTGATCAAGTTTGCCACCTCTCATGTGTATAGCTGCAGTCTCTGTAGTCAAAAGGGATTCATCTGTGAGATTTGTAACAATGGAGAAATCCTTTACCCCTTTGAAGATATTTCTACAAGCAGGTACTGCAATTAAATTAACATTTGATTCACCTAACGTATCCTTGTGGATTCTCAGCCTTATGATGTCTTTTTTAAATAACTGGGGTCTGGATTTGACTAATTCACATTCCCACGCAGCTGCACAAGCTCCTGGCCCAGAGAGGCCACAGTCTTGGAAGTAGATAGGGAGAACTACTTCCCAAAGTAAGTTTCAGAGCAGCTGCTTGAGATGGGAAGATTCCCCAGAAGGATCACATCGTGTGATTTATTTGAAGATTTCTGAGTTTGCAAAGTGTCTTAAAACACTAAATGGATTCTCTGGTGTGATCATAGGCATCTTTTCACTACCTGATGTCACTGGGCCCATGATGTACTGGGATTGTGTGTTGTAAAGCAGTACCCATTTATCTGGAACGTTTCCTCTGTGAAATGTTATGGGTAATTCTTCATTTTCACTGTGCACACTCCTCTTTGTATGTATGCAAGTTTTTTTTGTTGTTGTTTTTTTCGTTTTGGTTTTCCCCTTCCTTTAATGACAGCTCTTCTCAGGTAGTTACATAATATGTGTAAGTATGTGCCCAGCCCTAGATTAAATCCACGAACATTTATTTCATCTTAAATGGAGTACTGGATGCCAGATTAGGGGCAGGAGTTGTATGGAAGATCTTAAAGCAAAATGCAGGATATCAGTGTAGACTCAGCAGTGCAGCAGTATTACTATTCTTTTGCAAACGTATCTCAGATTTTAAGTAAAGGGGGACTTTTTTTTAACTCAGCAGAAGACTGTATCTGACAGCAGCACATTCCTCCACAGATAAATACTTTTTGGTTGTTTCAAAAATAGCCATTTTAATTTGTTCTCCAAAGAGTTCCACTGGAAAGAAGAGAGAAAAAAAAAAAAAGGAAAGGCCACCTTTGGAAACAATCAGGAGCAGCCTCTTAAAAGGGTTTCCTTAGGAATCTGATTCCCCTGTGCGTACAAAGATGTTAAATTACAAGTAGCCAAGGACTCCTCTTTGGGGGTTTTCAGCCTGACCTGACTTTCAATGACTGTTTGCACATTCTTTCTCCAGATTCTCATTCTTCGAAATGCATTGACAAAGCTGGGAGCATAAACTATACAAGGTGTGCAGCTGAGCTCTATAAACAGTTTTCTGTAAAGAATGTGTGTGAGGGTGCTTGGTGAGATAGGCTGAGTTAAAAAGAGACTAGGATATAAAAAGCATCAGAGGCTTATTAAGAGTATATAAAAGGCAATTAAAGATTGATGAGAAAATGTAAGAGCATTTGAGAAGACAAGTTTACCTGAAGTATCTGTGTGATCTGCCTGGGTATTTTTGGTCACAAAAACATTGTTGGATATATATTGTTTCCATACCCTTCAGCTGAGATAAGTCTTACTTTGCAATTACAACTTTAAAACCTTCAAAATAGTATTTGCCAGTAGTCCAGTGAAAGCCAAAAGAAGCTGCTGTAGCTCCTGTTTTTATGTGAATTAGAAACCAGAAAGGACATTTATTCATGTTTCACAAATGTGGTTGATGTCATGCCAAAGACAACATCTTCTTTAGTGATTTTAATTGAAACACAGTCGGCATGAATGGTTCTTCGATATTTCTCTTTCTTGTTTTGTCAGAGGTCATTTTACTTGCTTCTTTTGTACTCCTTATTGCTAAACCTTTTGTCCTTAGCATTTTCTGTTTCCCTTTGTTAGCTTTTTCATTGTATTACTACTCATGTGGGCACATGCACATCTGTGAAGCTAACCAGATTATGACAATCCCATATTTTCACTCTTTTCTGCCTTTAGGCTAGAGACAAGTCGTAATGACAAAGGAGCTTGTGCATGTTACTGTGCAACTTCATCATTGCAAAGCACTGAAGGAAAGGCCCGGAAAGAATTTTCACATCTGTAGCCATCTTACACAGATCAGAGAGGTTTTGTAGTCAGTGCTCAGGTATAACATGGGAAGGCTGGTTAGACATAGGAAAAGGTCTCGGTTTCCTGGAATTGCTGTCTGCAGCATAGTACTCACATTTTACACTCAGGACTGCCTGGACTTGGAATTACCCTGGTTGTAGCTGCTGAGTTAAAGAAGAAAGAGCAGCAGAGCTCTGAAGACTCTCTTTCCACGCTTTCACGATTTAGTCACTCACTTCTGAACATTCTGCTAATTCTACCAGCAAACTGGGCTCTTGGTTTGGAAATATTTGAAAGTGGGTACAGCTTTTCTAAACTTCACTTCTGTGTTGCACGTTTGAATAGGGAGGTCAGTTTGTGTGTTTGTCTGTGTTGAGCTGACGTTTGTTTTCCTGGCTACTTCCCTTAATTTCTTTACTCTTTGGAGAAAAGAGTGGCAGCTGTCAGAGAGGCTAGTGCCATTCTGAGGTGGTTTTCAGATGACTGTTACCTTTCCATCTTTGTGGTGTCTTAGGTCACCTTCGAGAGTTCATTTCTTTCCAAAGCCTTTCTCGCAGTTTCAGTCTTCAGTAGGAATTTATTTAGTCTTCAGTAGGAATTTATGAAGGATGGGTCTTCTTTAGATATGTGTATCTCAGAGAAAAGGGGGGGCCCCTCTTGAGGGCTGGAGTTTCTCGTTGGTCAGGTTATTTGCTTTAAAAGTAATTTTTGTCAGTCCCTGAGCAAACAGAGTGAATACCTGGGTTATGTGCTCCTCAGGGTTTGAATACACATATATTACATACCCTTCTCTCACTAATCAGCATGACACATTCCTTTGTTGGCAGAGGTTCCAAAATAAACACAATCAGTTCACTTAATTAGCGTGTCTGTGGGCTGTGCTTGTCAGACTCTTTACATCCTGCTCAACAATACAGAGCAACAGTTTGCTGCCTTGAATGTAAGGGTGGGCTCACAAAGTCATAAGCTTTCTAATGATATTTCCTTTCTGTGGCTTTTCTTGGGAGGTGGCCATTCTGCACAGAGCTTAATGAAAGCCTTGATTCAGTAGTTAAACTATTTATTTTTTTTTGTAAATTGGCCCATCCTTTTGGATGCCTCTTCTTATCTGATTCCTCTGTCTTCACTTTCCTCCTTTGTCTTTCTTTCAAGTATTTATATGAATTCATCTAGATTCTTCCTAAATTTCAAAAATTATGCTTCTTTCTGAAGACCTTTACATCGTAAAGTCTATATTTAAAGCCTACTGAGTTAATTATGCATTTCAAGGAGCAAATAGCCAGCTAATGTAAACTCTCAACATTTCTGGATGTTGATTGCTGGTGTTCTGGCAACTTTAACAATCAGAGCATCAACCTCCTGTTTCATGTCTTCAACTAAATTTGCCTCAGGCTAAAATTTTCCAAATAAACTTATTTATTCCTACTGTATTCCAAATTTTATTTTTACAGATGTTGTGAAATGAGCTTAAATATTTCGGGTTATAAACATGTTTATTAGAGCAGTTGAGCACTACCCCTCAAGTTTTCCTAGTATTGGTCATTCTTCATTAATGTAGTGTGTCTTAAAATAAAAAGTAATGGTAGAACGGGAAAAAAAAACTGCTTAGTGCTATAGTTGTTTATGATATGTAGCCCCATTTGTTTTACCTAGAACATTCTTTAACAAGGGTTATATCTTAAAGAATAATGAGAAAAATACCATTGGAATGAGAATGGAATTATTCATTATTATAATTTTCTGTCTAATTAAATAATTGGGTAATTATGGTTAAGATTATTATGTGCTACTCAGTTAATAAAGTTATGCTCTTGCCCGAGTGCTGCCGTCCTAGTGACTACCCTCATAGGTAACGCATTGTATTTCACTGGCAAATCTACTCACTTGGTTAAGGCCTGGCAAGTCAATTCCTTGCCTTTTATGTTCTGCCTCTGGATGCACATGAACGAAGGAGAGTGGTTCTTTTGTGTTTGTATTCATTTATCAAGGCTAAGCTGTTTTTGCTTTGTGAAATTAATTTGTTCTGAAGATCAGTTAAGACATGTAGCCCTTTAAAGATACAAACCAGAAGACCCAAGTTTAAAATAGATGTGCCACAGAACAGGCTTAACTATATGAACCAGGATGCCTCTATAATCTTTGGCCACCATCCTGTTAAGACCTATGAATGTACTTAACTTACATGTAGCAAAAAGTCCTACTAAGGGCTCTGGGGCTGTGTCTACATTTATACACATGCCACAGTTTTTGCAAGGCTGCAGCTAACTGTGTTGCAGATGCTGTATTGCTGGACAAAATCAGCTCTGAGCATTTGTGAGAAAGGTAGATAGTAGGTGAAGAGATTGACATATACAGCACAGGGCATTTCCAGAAGATACCTGGGCAGAAGTGCAGGGTATCATTTGAAGTACATCATTTTCCCTATTGCTTTGGTGTGTTTTGTGCTAGACAGCCCTTCTCTAGACCCAGTTCCCTTGAGGTGTGCTAGTGTTTTAGTACTTGTTTTGTGAAAGAGCTAAATTCACTGGATGTTGATAGTGTAAAAAGCTTATTCAAAGTATCCTGAAGGGATCTGCTCGGCATAAAGAAATGTAGGCATCAAAGCAGGTGCTAAATTATCTGCATGATGTAATTTCTGTTGAATCTGTCAAAATGGGCTAAAATCTGCTGGACCAAATCTGATTTTTGTCTGAGCAGATCATTGCAGTAACTTTATCTAAAATGCATTACAAGAAAGAATATACAGGCTTTTTCATAGAGCATTGTATTTTGGATCTAGATTAGCTTTAGAGATCAGTTTTTCCTGCCTTGTGTCAGATTAGTGTGAATTAGAAGGTTCTGCATAAAAGCAGGCACTTAATTTCAAGCAAGAAGGCCTCTGCAGTGCTACCTGCTGCACTTTCCCCCATCTAGGCATGGCAGCCATCTCACTTCCTGTTTCTGCTTTATGACTGCCGTCCTGTGCCTTCTTCCTTGTTCTAGATTTCCCACTTGCTGTTCAGGACCTTCTAATTTCCTCTTCCTTCCTCATGCAGAATTCCCTTTTGAGGTAGACCTTCGCCATCTTGCGAGCAAGGTTCTTTGTATATCAGACACCAAC